TTATCCCACAGTAAGGAATTTAATTGTAAAATCAAACTGAACTCACGATTCTTGCAATATTTTTTTATGTTTCGGAAAGACAAATTGTTGCAATAGGTGCAAGTACTACTTTATAATAGTTATAATGATCAGAAAATCAAGACATTGTTTCCAATATTTTGGTGAACCTTTCACACTTCTATTATATATACTACCAAGACATCGTGAAAAGTACTATCTAGCAACTGACTAAAAAAGAAGAAAAAATAAACTAAAATTTATAACTGAAACTTATTTCATTAAAGGTACTTAAAAAACTTCTGTGCAAGTATAATACCTGACGCGACCATAAAGTTTTTTTTATTACATACGAGTTAATTTAAAAATTAACTTTATTATTCGAGTTATTTTAAATACTCAGAATTTTTCTTAAATATACACTAGATTCTGCTTCAAAAAATATTGTAACACTCCTAATGAATAATTTGTTACTGTATGTTATATATTCAATGCAAATAATAAAGTCTTCTCATATATGAATCTTACCGTATTAGTTTAGGTTAAAATTTAGATGCCATATGAGTTTTTATATATATCTTTATATTGGGATATCTATATTGCAATAGTACTTGCTTTTATTTTACTTCATCTGTCCATTGTACCTGTCTGTGCAAGCGAGTTTTAAGTTAAATAAATATAATTATCTATTATTTTATTTGAGAAGGGTTTTGAATATTTTGAATTCCGCAATAACCGTAACATCCGCATGAACAACGAAGGACTTCGTCGGTACACGAACGCAGAGCTACTACGACTTTTTAACGGTGAAAATGTCTTAAAATTCGCAAAATTGCGGAGCTTGAGATGGATCAGTCACGGATGATAGACTACAAAAGCGATTACTCCATTTCACGTCGTATAACGACCGCAGCAGAGCTAGCCCACGTATACGATGGTTCACAAACGTGACCGACATGAGAAAAATAGGTACCCAAAATTTAAGGTCTAAAACAACATGCAATGCAGAATGGAGAAAACTGATTGATGTAGCTAAAGCTCAACCCGAACTGTAACGCTGATGATGGTGATGAATAATCGTAAGGTATGTATTTGAGTTCTTGGTTAACAACTTTTCAGAAAATTAAAAAAATTTTAGTTGTAAGTGACATCAAATAGAATGATATTTTATTGAGATATATTCGAGATTGAGTAAAATTGCTATTTAAATCAAGTGTTTATATATAAGCGCATTCTTCTGTTAAATGTTAATTGCATATATATATATTTGATATAATATTTTAAAAATGTAATTATATTATATTATTGTATTATATTTGAAAAAATGTTATAGAAAAAAACTTTTTCAATTTACCTAATGATGTAATAATATTATTTAATATCTCTATAAATGTTTTGTAGTGATTATATAAATTTTTTCAGACTATTATATATTAGTAATTTTCTCACGAATTACTTCTTAAATAATCACTAAACTTCTTTTTGATTTATGGGATTAAGTTCAGCGTCAACTTTCATAGCCCACAGTTTGGTGTCCTTATCAGTGCACAATTATTCATAAACATTTCGTAATTGTTTCTTTCAGTAGTTTCTTTCAGAAAGACCAGGGCAAATTCTGAAAAAATTAAACAAATTATAGAAAAGAATAAAAGAAAAGTGAAGAAGGGAAAATAAGATTGTAGATGTGTGCCATGTTATATGTTACTTGAGTTGGTGAATGAATTTAATCTTACCATAAAGTTTAGTTACTTCAATTTTATATCACTTAATAAATTATTATCACATAAGTGGCTGAATATTATCTTCCATTTTATTTGCCATTTACAATCATTACATTGTTAACATATGCAGTGGTACTAGCAAAACCCTGACAGCCGACCATACATTTATCCGCACAATCTACCCTCACCCACGCCCCCGTCGCAGCGAGCTATTCACAGCAGTTGTGGCATAAAAAGGATTCCCAGCAACAAATACTTAATGGCTCTGTTTCGTTTCTTAGTCATATGGAAAAGCATAAAAATGCTGCTGAATGTTATTTTATTATTTTTGTTTTTATGCTGTGATGTTGTGGCTGCGATTTTTATGATTGTTTACCTTTGCGAAGGACATTTCCACATTTCCACATTTCCAGTGGTATGTGCTACCCAATCCGACTCAATCCTGTGTGCAAATCTTCACACTCGTAAGACTTTTATGCGTTGTCTTTACTGCAGTCTGGAATGAAAGTAAAATTTTTATTTATGTTTTATGACCAAGTAAAAATGCTCGACACTCAAGCTTATATTAAAATAGAAGGAGGAACGTTACTCGTATCCTCCAACGCTCCCATGTTGGAACGTCGAAACGTCGGAACGGCGATAGTGTAAGGCTAGCAGTATAAGAAGAAGCAGTTACAAAGCGTATACATGAAGTTCAATGTAGGATGCGATGAGTTCAAGTTGGACAAGAAAAGTAACTTCCTTCTCCTCTAATGGTACGAGTAGTATCAGTTAATATATGACGACTGGAACTTGGCAGTTAGGATGACGGCGCCCATGGCGGTATAGTGGTTACCGGGGAAGATTCGGTGGCATTGGCACTGGTCACAATTGCTGCTTTAGATGTTGATGATGTGTTTATCGTTACACTAAATTCTTTTACGATGTACTTTATTCGCATTCGGTTTGCTTCTGTAGATGAATTTTTATTTTATGTTGTTTTATTGATGTTGTTTGTTGTAATTTTACGATATTCGTTAAACATCTTATGTAGTCCGCTTTACTGGTTTAACTGATTGATGGTTTATTAGCTTGTTAGGAGATAA